AAAAAATAAAGATAATTAAAAAAAAACAATTAATAGAGGGTAGTTCAAAGTTATTTTGTTTTATTTTAGGTTAGTTTAAATATTTAAATATTCATAATCTATTTTATAACACCTTATAAAAATAGCCTTGATTTTTCATGCAGATACCTTGAAATTAAGTAAATATATTATATCTTTTAATCCTTAAATCCTTTCTGAAATATATCAATACCTAAATAAAAAGATCGTTTCATTACAAACAACACAAATAATAATTGTCAAAACCCAAATCAAAAATTACGAAAATAGTACTGTTTTGTAACCTTTGCAAATATCAATATCAATCTATTCAATTTTATAATCGCCCCCCGTAGCAAAGTCGTCAAGTAATATCGTCGGGACTAACAAAATTAAACCTCGTATATAGCTGAGAGTTTCGTGCTGCAGTATTACCAACTCCGGGATTTTATCCCTAAATTTGGGGAGACAAAATCTATATGGGGATTTTTTTATGGAGTAAAATTTTTTGGGGATATTTTTAGGGATAAAATTTCAAATTACCGCTACCAAAGAGAAGATAAGACCGCTACTATTTTTCAAAATTAATAGGAAAGTATAAATAAAACAAAATAATTTATTTGTTTTAATCACCGAATCTTGGATAACATTTGTGGGGATTTTAGTTGTTTGGATTTAAGAAGGTTTGATATTGCTTTAATGGAAAGTTTCGAACAGTTGGCTACATTGCTGTGATCAGACGTTTCAAGGTCAACCACTTTAGGGTTTTTTCGGGAAATTTTAGGTTTTTAGCAATGACTAAAGAATACAAGGACAGATAGCAACGAAAACCAAACTGTGACCATTCTTCCAAACAGTGCCGTGGCACATATTTTTCTTAACATGGCCGATTGAAACGATATTTATATTTTTGGTAAATATTTTCACTACGCCTCTGGTGTGTCCTGTGGTATCATACTAATGAATTACGAAAAAAACGTATTAAAATGTTAACAAAAGGTACAAAACTAGTATCGACGTATAGCACATATCAACTACATATAATATTAGAAAAATAATTATATCGAATTCAATAAAAAAAACGCTAAAAAGGTGTAGTGGACTGGTTATTTCCCTATAAAACGTAACTCCTGGATCTTTCTTATCATCGCGCCTTTTACACTTGAAAGCTGAACAAATTACCATTGTAATAAAGTTTATACAAAGTTCACTACACACAACCAACTATTAAAAATCGCTAAAATTGTCGCTCATGAACAGCTGATGATTTATTCGTTATGTCCCAAAAAAAGGCCTCTAAAGGTCACAAATTTTGCTACAGCCCGTATATGGCCGTTACATGTTCTTGTATTCTTTAGTCATTGGTTTTTAGGGATATTTTGGGGATTTTTGATGCGAGCGTTTTAGATTTTTAGGGAGATAAATTTTTGAGAGTTGGGAACACTGTCGTGCTGTCAGGCCAGTTCACCTAAATTAGGCATCACGCAACAAAGTTTTCATGCTTTAATTTGGTCGACTGTGCGGCTAGTGCGACACCGTTGCTGGCGACCTTGAAAGAAAACTCGAAATTTGGCCCGCATATACGAACATAAACATTTCCAATACGTTAAAAGTTAAAATCATGCCAGACCTTTTTTTGAAGACTGTTCAATTTCCGGCAAGAAAATGTAGTCGGCGAAATTAGTGTTAAACTGCTAACTCTACTTAATTTTACAGAAGAGAAAAGATATGGTACAAAAAAATATGTACACATGTAGCAAGTATATTTATGGGTTAATATGATAAATAGATAACAATAATATTTGTTGGGGACCAGTAAAACACAATATTTCGTTAAAAATTTAAGGCAAAAATTAAATATTAAATGTATTATTTAATTAAAGTCAAAAATGGAATTAGCAGGTTAACACGTTTCACACTTGTCTCTAGTCCCAGCAGGCAACTATTAAGCCCGACCAATCACGTTAGAGTTTTTGACAAACACAAATGAATTAACACCCTCCAAATAACCACGCTAACCATCCTGATTGGTCAAGCTTAAAAGGTGCCTGCTGGGGCTAGACACTTCTACGTTTCACTGACGATGTCTTGGTTTTTACAATACACTGATTTGTTAGAACGCAATAAAATAAAATAAAACACATTTTCCCCGTGTTATTTAAATAGGAAATAGAAAATCACGATGATACACCTCTTAATATTAATATTAAGAACTGAAACTTTACCAGATTTTTTTTCATCATCGTGATATCGATATTAATACAGAAACAGAGAAACATCATAAACACAAGAAAGCCATACCTAAAAATAAAGCAATCATACATCACCAACTTAAATGTACTTATGTCACGACCTATACATATTTCGGCTGCTTGATATATCGTTTAAATAGCACTACATACACACCCGCCCCCATTAACCACACATACCCCAATTTTTCTGTCGATGTCAATTGACGCATGCGGCAATTATATGCCTTGCCAACCCCGAATGCAATAATTCTTTTACCCCTTGGAACTCAACCCTATTAAAAATTTAGCACACAATGCTTTTATTCGTCCCACCCTCGTATATTTTGGGAGTATAACGACCAGGTATAATACGTTTACAATCATTTTGAAACATCGTTGTACATTTGGACAAGATATTAATACCTAATTGATTCATAAAAGAGAGAAAAGATAGTCTAAAAACATTCGTGTTAATACAGAAAATATCTGTAATCATCTCGACTAGGAAAATTTAAGATAAAATATACACTAAACTAATATTTTTGTCTTCTAATAAATGAAATTTATCATGGCTTACCATTACGGATTATTCCATAAAAACAGTCTAACCATATAAGAGTGGCTTACCTGAAAAATAAAATAAAAAATATATTAATATGATTATACTCTATGTATATTTTTAGCCGACAGGTATGGTATCCAATTAAGATCGGCAAAAAAAAAGTTAACTTTAAGTTAAATGATAACTCAAAAACCGCTAAACCGATTTTAACCAAACTTGGCACAAAAATACTGTGGCACCCGAGAATCTGGCCATTAGTTTTTGGTGGGGGTGGGGGGTTGGTAAGGAGGTATGGGTGGGGTTAAAAATTTTAAAATATCGTAACTCCAAAATTACAGTAGCTAGCGAAACGCGGTTTTCAATTTAAGATTAGGAATAACATTTGCAACAAAATTTGTATTATAACATCAAAATCAGTCAAAGTCGCATTTTTTGAGATAAAAAAAAATATCAAGTATGGGCGGCTATACGTGCCTCCCGGCGCCAATTTTTCCTATATAGAAGGATGTGATTAATAAGTGATAATCATTTAAGCGATTATCGCTTGGTGGCCATATTGTAATTGTCATTTTTTGAAATATTAATTCAGAAGTCATTTCTGTCAGTTCCACAAAATATCCCGTCAATTCATATTACAAAATGACAAAAGAAAGATTTAGTAAGGATATAAAAATATATATATATATTTTTTTTTTACAAATCCGGTTTACTTCCTTCAGCTCCGACACTTGAAGGAAACTTGCCGGTGTCCTCTTTCAGTGTTCAACTCCTGACGTCCGTCTGGTAAGCCGTTCACTGAATCCGCGTATCGTGTGCCCTGAGTATTTTGAGAGAGCCCAAAATCACAGCCTTCTGCATGCTTGCAGCAAGTCGTTCCGCTACATTATAACACGCTGGTATCAGTTTCAATTGCTGGAGCAGGGTGTCTTTAACTCCTCCTAAACTTCCTATCACTAGTACCACCAACCTTACAGAATGATCAGCGTACATTCTGCGCATTTGCTCCAGGAGTTCCTGGTACTTCTCCCTCTTTTCCTCTTCTTTACTGATTATGTTCTTCTCTGATGGCGCCGAGAATTCTATGACATAAATTATTATTTTCTTCGCTATATCCTGGAGAACTATGTCTGGTCTGTTCGCCCGTATTTGTCCGAAGGCCTGGAATGGATAGTTCCAGTAAATTTTGGTTGTTTCGTTTTCCACCAAGGACTCAATTTCTTTCGGTGTTTGTGGTAGCACTGGCGTTTCATCAAATCCATGCATATGACGAAGGTGATAGTATATCACCCTCAATGCGGCGTTATGGCGCTGGGTATAAGCCGATGCAGCATAAGTAGGGCAGGCTGATAGTATGTGCCAGAGGGTCTCCGGAGCTTGATGGCATGCTCTACATCTTATATCTTCGATTTGTTGGCCCATAATACGGCTACGATACACCAAAGAGCCATAGACACCGTCCTGGCATGCCAGTATAAATCTCTCTGTCTCAGATCTTAAGCCGCTCGACCTCAGGAAAGCAAACGATAGTCTCTCAGAAAGCTGCTGTTGTGTCATTATGTTATAGAAGGCTCCGTGCACGGGTTTCTCCACGTGATTTTGCAAGAACCTCCTGTTCTGTGCGGACCTAATTCGGTTGACTACCTGTGTGGCGCTGTGTTCTGTGATGGATTCTGGATGTTGGCGCTGAAGGTCGAATATTAGATTGAGTTTATTCGCTGCTTTTTTTGCTTCTTTGAAAATGAATCCACCAATTTCTTCTTTCTCGTGGTCTCGTACCATTACTAGGATCTTGAGTTTTAAGGAGTGTGTACGCCGTGCTTAGGATCACTCTTTGGTGTAAGCTTTCTAAACTGGGAAGACTGCGTCCTCCCTGTTCCTAGTAATATATATATATATATATATATATATATATATATATATATATATATATATATATATATATATATATATATATATATATATATATATATATATATATATATATATATATATATATATATATATATATATATATATATATATATATATATAAAACCTAGTCAGTTGAACTCAGAAGCAAAATTCTAATAGAACTCAAGAACAACAATGAAAGGATAAGACTCCCTCCGCTGAAGAAGACGAAAAGAAATGATTTAATCAGAATTCTTCGAGATATTAATACAGTAATAGATACAATCCATACCGAAAGTCTAACAGAAACCAACAAGCTTATGTACAGTACCGCAGTGGTAGCTACGAGAGAATTGGGATACGACATCTCACCAGAACGAAAACAGCAAAAACAACCTAAATGGAAAATAAGACTCAAATGGAAACTGGGCCAACTCAGAGCAGACTTAAGTTGCATTAAAAAGTGGAAAGACGGAAAACTGAATGACCAAAGGAAAAAAGATTACCTATGGCACAAATATAAAATGGCGGAAAAGCGCATACCCACAGTAATGGAAGAACTTAAGCAGCGCATAATGGCAACAGCAAACAAGATCGAAAGATACGAGCGACGAATTGTCCAGTATAGACAGAATCAGCTTTTTAAAACAGACCAAAAAAGATTTTACAAGTCATTAGAAAACTCCAACACAGGCAAACAAAACCTGCCAGACAAAGAAGCCACATACGGGTTCTGGAGAGACATATGGGATAACAGCACTAAACACAACGGAGAAGCAAAATGGATTAAGGACACCAAAAAACAAATGAAAACCCCAAAAATGCCAGAGTTCCAGATCACCACAGAACTAGTTAAGAAGCAGGCTAGAAAATCTAAGAACTGGAGCACCCCAGGACCAGATGAAATACATGGCTACTGGCTGAAGCACCTAACAAAACTACATGAAAGACTTGCCGGACAATTCAACACTGTATTGGACGACCCAACAGACTACCAATGGCTAACCTTAGGAAAAACGTTTCTTATCATGAAAGATCCCCAAAAAGGTGCAATTCCAAGCAATTACAGACCAATCACGTGTCTTCCAACGACATTTAAAGTGCTGACGGGTATATTAGGAGAGGCAATATATGCACACCTAACAACAAACAACCTATACCCAGTGGAACAAAAAGGAAGCTGTAAACAAACCAGAGGTACAAAGGATCAACTATTAATCGACAAGATGGTATTAAAAAACTGCAGAAGAAAGCAAACAAACCTGCATATGGCTTGGATAGATTATAGAAAAGCTTTCGATTCTCTACCGCATAGCTTGGATCCGGGAATGCCTGAATATTTACGGTATTAGTAATAAAATAACAACGTTTATATCCAAGGGCATGGACTCATGGAGAACCAATCTGTATGTTGGAGGACAGGACTATGGCCAGTTAAAGATCAAAAGAGGAATTTTCCAAGGAGATTCTCTCTCTCTCGCTGCTTTTCACGACGGCTCTTTTCCTTTGACAACTCTGCTCAACAAATCCAAGGTGGGCTATCAGGTATCAGGGCGAGCTAGAAAGATCAACCACCTCCTATACATGGATGATCTCAAGCTGTACGCTGGAACTCGAGGAGGCATTGAATCGCTGCTGAACACGGTCCGGATATTCAGCGAGGACATTGGAATGCAGTTTGGATTAGACAAATGTGCGACAATGACTTTACGAAGAGGAAAGCTCATAGAATCAGAGGGAATCGAGTTCGAGAATGGAGACATAATCAAGAACCTAGGCCCAGACCATAAATACCGATACTTGGGAATTCTCGAAGCGGCCGATCTCTTGCACGAAGAGGTTAAAGCATCTAGTCGCCAAGAATATCTGAAAAGGGTTAGAAAAATATTAAAAACCAAATTGAATGGAGGAAATAGTATCAAAGCCATAAACACTTGGGCAGTTCCGGTCATAAGATACACTGCAGGAATAATAAATTGGACACAAGCAGAACTTGAAGAACTTGATAAAAGAACAAGAAAAATCATGACAATGCACCAAGCATTGCATCCCAAGAGTGATATCGACAGGCTTTACATTTCGCGACGAATAGGAGGAAGAGGACTTGTCCAAGTGTTACAAACTGTGGAGGAGGAGAAAATAAGCCTAAGCCAATATCTCAAAACAAGTCGTGAAACTAATCCGTGAGATATTAAAAGAAAATATCTTAAATGTAAAAGAGGACAACAAGAAAATATACAAACAAAAGATTATATCAGCTAGAATAGCAAACTGGAATAATAAACCCCTCCACGGTAGTTACGCAAGAAATATTAAAGAAAACGCAGATGTTAAAAAATCATACCAATGGATATCGAATGGGACAACCCGTAAAGAAATAGAAGCAGCCATCTTTGCAGCGCAAGATCAAGCCTTCACAACAAATGCAATTAAATACAGAGTACACAAAACGACAGATGATCCAAAATGTAGACTCTGTAGAGATAAAGATGAGACCATTGACCACCTAGTGTCAGGATGCAGTAAGATCGCACAAACGGAATATAAGAAACGACACGATAACGTAGCCAGCATGATCCATTGAAACATCTGCAAAAATATCGGCGCCCCAGTAAAGAAAAACTGGTACAACCACTACCCAGAAAAGGTGGTTGAAAACGATAGGGGAAAAATACTTTGGGACTTCCGAATCCAGACTGACAGACGAATTGAACACAATACGCCGGACATCGTGGTGATAACCCAAGAAACCATCAATATAATAGACATAGCCATCCCTGGACACCCCCGAGTGAGAGATAAGGAGATCGAAAAAATCAATAAATACCAGGAGCTAGGAAGAGAAATGACCCGCCTATGGAGAAAACCATTCTCAGTCATCCCAATTGTCATAGGAGCCATGGGAGCCATCACGTCGAATTTGGGGAAACACCTTATTGACCTCGAGATCATGGAGTTAAGCACCGCCCAGCTCCAGAAAACAGCGATCTTTGGGACAGCGCAAATATTACGCAAACACTTGCGGAGTTCTTAGGCCTCTGGTTGAGACCCGAACCTGCAAAAAAATCCATCATCAACCGGCAAACAACACAATGAAGCCGTGACATTCTTAACGAATGAATAAAAAAAAAAAAATATATATATATATATATATATATATATATATATATATATATATATATATATATATATATATATATATATATATATATATGTACTTATATGTACTTTATTTCGTTGTATAATCTTTTAAATACAACTTGATGTTTCAGGATTACCTTATAAGTACTTTTGCCTGACACTCAATGCGATAACGGCAACACTACTCCTTCTTTCGGTAATCCCGAAACATCTTGTGGTATTAAATTCAACTCGAAAAGCATTGAAAGAAAAGAAAAATTGCAAAAATACTGTAGTACAACATACTCAGGGTCGTTCAACAAAGTTGAAGAGGTAATATTTTGACCAAATGTATAACAAGCAATTTAAATGAATTAAAGGAACCTACGTTGTGTTAAAAATATTTTTGTTGTGAACTACCTAGGATGCGTTCGACAGAAGCAATATTAGGGAAATTTGAGGACAATAGGTTATGTAAATCAAACGCTAAATTTGTAAATAGCCCTATGTACTTATTTTATTAAATTAAATGAAAGGAGTGCCGTACTCTGCCTGGAATTCACAAGTAACAGAGTACGGCAAAGAAAACCTTGATCACTATTCTAAAGAATCCAACTTATGCTGTTCTGAACTAATAAAAGAAAAATAATAATAATAATACAAATACTGTTTTCATATGAAGGTTTGAAGTTTAACACACGTAAAACATTCATAACTGAAGAGGTTTTGTTGGTTAGCAGGTCCCCACCTGCAGGTACTGAGGTCCCTGGATTCGGGAGGCTACTCAGCTATAGTTGATATGTTTTGATTGTATGGTGCCAATATCTTTAGAGCATGAGTTATACCATTCTTTGGTTTTGACTGCTCACTTGTTTGCTAAAGTATTCGCCCAGGCATGGTTGGAAATTATTAGTACACGCAACAAGGCCCTTATTGCCACATTAAGTCATACTGAACCAAAAACATCGGCGTGTAGAGGCTTTGATTGCTTTTAGTTTTAATTTTAACTAGAAAATATTTACAACATAATTCGGTTCCATTAAATACATACACATGTTATATAATATAATTTTCAGATCAAAAATAAATAAAGAAACGCTTTAGCACAGAATATTTCAACAGGAAAATGAAAATGTTGTACCATATAAAATTGTAAACTTTCTAGCCGAATACTGCAAAATGAACTTAAACGCATCATGGAACTGATAGGCCTGAAATTACTGAAAAAGAAACGTATCAACAATTTGCCTGACGTCCGTCCGAACAAAAGGACAAACTGTGACAAACAACTGTGTACCTTAATACGGTAATGCCCGTTTGGGACTATTGGACATTAATCCTCTAATAGCCATTCGAGGGACCCCCTGAACAGTATCGTCCGAAATCATATTGACAGCGGTATAGTAGATGTCGTTGGACATTTCCAAGAAATTATTAAATAAGTTTCATTTTTGAGTAGTAAACAGTTGTTGAGTGATCGTCGACAATCAATGATAAAATACACTCATATTATGTAAAAAAACGCTATATTAACCAAAAATTTACTTAGGCACGTATTGACATGATCCAAAAAACAAAATGCTAAGAAGACTTTACATAAAAAATTATTGCACAGAGTGTTTTAAAGTTAGGGTAAGCATAGTAGTAAGTAAGAGTAATAGATATACAGGGTGAGTCTTAAATAGGTGGAAATATTTTTAGGGGTAGTATATTTCGATCCCCAGAAACACGTCTATGAGGTTTTTTTCGCGAGGAAAAAATTGAAAATTTGGAATTTTTTGAAAAAAAAATTTGAAATTTTTTAATTTTAAGTAAAAAACATATCTTCATAATATGGCTTCATAATAGTAGATTAAATTTACAAGAAGAAAACCCAGAAAAGATACAGTGGTTGTCAAAGTTTAACCAAAAAATTATGTTTTCCTTAAACTTTCAAAGCAAAATAACTGAGGTATTTTGGAGTTATTTGAAAAACGTTAAAGAGAAAATATGTTACTTTTATCGAAAATATTTGCAATTATTTAAAAGTCACCCTATATCTTGATAGGTACAACGTATTTTTTGTTATTGAGCATGCTAACCTGGCTCTACATAAGCCTTATTTCATAACTGAATAATAATTTTTCCTATTTGGTTATATTTTTTGGCACATACTGACCATACTGTATTACTTTTTAAATTCTAAATTTAAAATAAAAACATGTCCTCAATTTAATGAAATGTTTATAACCTTATAATCGATGAGAAATTATATCTTTTTATAGATACATTTAGTTCGGATAGAAAATAAAGTACCTATACCTTTCCTTATTTAAAAAAAATCCTAGCTTATAATCAAATTGCAAATTACGAACAAGAATTCAATGTACAAATATATTTTTATTTTGAATTCTATGCATAGGTGGTCTTTTTCTCCTCAATATTTCCTTAAGCGGCATTAAATATGCCCCTATATTGCGTGACTATAGTACAATAGTGTTTACATAGAAAGCCCAAATAAGTATAACATAGAACTTTCTAACAAAAAACAAAGATATCTTATTGTGAGGAATAAAACCGTCAAGAGTTTATATGCGTACGTTTATATGATATAATAAAATCCGGAGAAGAATACTTCCATTCTTCTGCTGTAGTGTCTCAATAAATCGTCCTAGTATGTGGTAGAATAATACTACAAGTTATTGAAATAATTGATATAACGATAATACAAAAATAAAAATTATGAAATAAAAAATATATACCGGGTGTCCCAATATTCCGTAGACCCAGAACTACTACGTATTTATGGAATCAAAATAAGTTCATTGAAAACAATTTACCTCTATACAAAAGTGCTTCGTTTGTCCGCTAATCAGACTTTAAAAAAATTAACACATTTTTTCAGATTTTTTAAAAACTGTTATTCCGATTTGAATGAGATTTGGAGTGTCTGTGTTTTGTTAAGTGCTCAAACATTTGTCTTTCACAAAAATCAAGAAAAAGTGTGGGAAGGGTAAAAACTATTCTCACCCCTACATAAATTTTAGTATAAATATTTTCCAACTCCACCGACAGACAATTTTCTTTTCGTAAAATGGTCTCTCTAGTATTTACTACATTTGTTGCCTCTTGTAAAAAACGCCACCGTGCATACTTTTTGAAGGCAAAAAATATTGTTCCAAATAGGGAATGCAATCCCGCACTAAAATCTCAATCCCGCAAACCAGCGGGATTAAAGCAATCAATCCCGCAG